GTCCCTGGTTCCAAAAGCCCACACTACTGGTGTTTCTTAAGCTGACTCGGGCCTAGAGAAAGTGGACACGGCCGACAATGGTATATCTTCTCGCCAGGTGCCCCTCGTCTAGACTCATTGCCTGTCTACAAAATTAAGCCGGCGGTCTGGTGGCCTAAGTTGCCCACTCTACTTGACATTCCTCACAGCAGATCGTTAATTCGGAGAATGGCCCATGCGAACAACGACTACTTGGCTGGGGTTGTCGGTTTCACTTGAATCATTTCGCACTTTTATTGACACCAGCGCTCCTCGTTATAAAACCCCAGCGGAATCTCCAATCGACCTTTTTAGACAGCTTTCGAAAATATAATTCATCACCATGCGGCTTCCACCCCCCGAAGTTTTGATGGCATGGCCGACGCCGAACTATACTGATCCTCCGACTCGCGGCAACTCTGCGTTCATAGTCAATGTTGCCGGTACCTCTGTGGCATTCGTCGTAACCTGCCTTCGCCTTTATACTCGTCTAAGAATCACGTGCAGCCCTGGGTTCGATGACGTCCTGATCGTGATTGCTCAGGTATATTGGGAGAAACCACATTGCGGCCTGACGTTTGCTGACCTGGTTCTTAGATCTTTGCAATTGGCATGTGCGCGGTCATTTCGATGGCAACTGAGCAGTGGGGATGGGATAGACATATGTGGGATGTTCCGTTGGAATGGATTCCCACGAATTCCAAACTCAACCTCTCTTTTCAACTTCTCTTTTCCCTGGCCTCGTCAATCACAAAGCTCTCCGTTCTATGGTTTTGCAAACGCCTACTTGGAGCTGGTAGCAAGGGCTTGTATCGGTCATACAACATTGTCTTGATCGTCGCCATGGTTTTTGTTACGATCTGTTGCACTCTCTTCACTGTGCTATCCATCTTTCAATGCAAGTAAGTATTTCCCCAATGCATGGCCTTGCGATTTATACAGCTTGCTAACAAACTTCATTAAACCAGGCCTATACATGCTTACTGGGATTTTATGCCGAAATACCCTCACCACTGTATGAACGATGGTTATATGGTGTTTTCCGCCAGCGTCGTCAACATCTTTACCGATTTCCTTGCCACGGTTCTTCCTATGCCATTGATCTGGAACCTGAAGCTCCCCGCCCGGCAACGCATTGCAGTGATCTCGATCTTCGGTCTGGGTATTGTGGTCAACGTCGCGGGCTCGGTCCGGACGGTGTATGTGTGGAAGAGTATGGTTGCCTCTTACGACACAACTTGGCTGGGTTGGCCAGTCTTGCTGGCCGCGACCATAGAGATAAGCATTGGCTTGGTATGCTCCATCTTTCATTTTAACCGTCTTCCGCTCTCGGTACTAATTGTCTTCTAGATCTGCGCGTCGGCACCAGCACTGAGGCCACTCCTTGCATTCTTCTTGCCTCGCTTGCTCCAATCCAGTCGCAACTACGCATCTTACGATCAGCAGAACCCCTCTCAGAAGTTGTGGGGATCGACTGGTCCATCCAAGAACTCGAAGCATGAGTCGCGCCATTACGGCAATGCGCTGGACCGTATGGAGGTTGTGCGGACGGTTGAAATGGAGACGTGGACCGAGTCGAGGGCTCCAAGTGAAGGCGTGAAAAGCAACGCCGGGGTCATTTCCAACCATACTCGAGTTGCAACTCCGACTCACAAGTTCGATTTGAAGGACAGCGGCACCGTGATCACCTCGCCAGGTAGCGTTGGATCTACGGTCTCTCTCACGCGGGAATCCCCCCCCGATTCACCATTCGACGACAAAACTTATATCTGAATACTGTATTCTCTAGCATGTTATTTCTTTACCCATTGTACACTCATGACGGTTTGGTGACTTACGAAATTCTGGCGTTACAATGAGCATACTACCTACATTTTGACTTTTAATTACTGTATATAATTGATACATTGATTACTATACTCATCATCAAATGATCGTACCCTAGCATCTCTTCATGTTGAGTGTTGACTGATGGAGCACGGGGAGTGTCCGGCCCAAAGGAACGAAACATTGCCGATCTCCAGTCGACTCCACCCAGTCTCCACTACAGGAACCAAATTCCACCGATCGGCGTCAAATCCTGCAAATATGGCATGATGCGCGCTTAGGAGCGTGAGTTGCCAAAATCCAGCCATCGAGCGGTGTCGTTCAAGGAGGTTGAAGCTTGACTCGCGGGTATATTGGAGGATATGAGTTTAAGTTTGAACTCGAAGTTGACACACGTTAACGGTGCCGGTGTTAGAGCCTGGGCTGCAAAGTTTGCGCTAGACACCCTTCTTTCCCACTGATGTTGCAAAGACATGTCCTTGACTGACTCGTACTTCCGGGTTCTATAAAAGAACCGAGTACCTCGTTGGTCGTATCTTTGCGGAAGTGGGTACATGAAGCTACACCATCAGCTGCAGCAGATCAGCTGAGCTCTGTTTCAGCCTTCCAGCTTCATGGACATAAGGATCATCGATATAACTTGAAGCTCTAATTAGGGGAAGAGCAAGTTAAGGATTCTTCGTTTCAGCGTGGTTTCAATGATTCAATCCAGGATGGTTTCTCATCATCTCATCATCTCTCAGGGAATTTCAATTCGAAAGTCTAGAATCATTTCTGGCCTCGATCCGGTGAAATGAAGGACTGCGGAATTCCACCGTACATGCACACATCGTCTAGTTATCTGCGATCAGATAGAGTTCGAAAGATCGCCCAAATTCCCAGCACCAGAAACGAGCCGAGAATCAGGTAAGCCCACTGCAGGACAAGGACCGTTTGTTCTCGACTTCTACGCGCAGTGGCATTGGGTTCAGTAAAGGGGACTTCATCGTCGTCCTCGTCCTCGCGCGCCTTAGACCCCTCACATCCGGGCAAGGGATATGGCAATCGTTGATATATCCCGGATGTCATTGCACTTTTGGTTTCTCAGCCGCGAAAACGTAAATTGGACGTATGAAGTTGGCTGCTTGATAGTCGATCTGGACAGGACGGAATTTACACTCGAGCAGATCTTTATACGGGGGCAATGGTGATGCAAGGTGGTACAGGCACCTGCACAGGTGGTTGCATTCCTTGATTTCCCGGGGGAAATCACCCGATCGATTGCACAAGCAGAAAACTCTATCGGTGTATATATTTCGAAATGACGTAGCGACTTATCGAATAGTTCCGTTTTACTAAGACCCTACCTAAGAACTAGTTAACTATTTGAGCGGACTGAAAAGAGTGCTGTCTGCCTCAGGCCTACTGACTATACCGATCTTGAGCAGTATTTTGGTTATTCTTTGGGCTATTATAGAATGATCCTAGTTAGCTTTATATAGATTGATATTCTCCCAGAGAGTATCGGGAATATTGACTGGCTATCATATATGTACATATATGTACTATAATTCCTGTGCTACTTACTCTCTTCTCTTATCCGTACGAATATTGATAAAATCTGGGGCGTTTTCTATTTATGTTTATATCATGTAGATCTGCATGTCTAGGCCGCGAATGTGATGCCGTATTTATTCAAGGGGGCTTAGAATTCTCCAATGCTTGAGAGCAACAATACGATGCCATCTCAGGCAACATTGATTGATATATCGGGTATCGAATAGTTCATTTGCCAAGGTTTTTGTGGTTTGAAATAGACAGGTAGATAGGTAGTCGAAGGACCCGGAGAACAGGCAGTTAAAAACTCCACTTAGATATCCCCCAAAAAATAAAATGCTCCCGTATTGTAGCGCAAAATATGAACGAGAAAAGAAACACCCTCATAACTCCGATTTTATGTATCAGCTGGACCTGAACTGGCCTGTCTGGTCTCCGATTTGTCAAGTAGGTGCGAACTCGATGTGCAAGCGGGTGTCTGACGTAGGTGAGTCGTATGGCATATATGTAGTATTATGGAATAGTCGGAGGGAGGAGAGTCGACATAGGCTTCGGCTCGCCGGTATCAAATCAATCAAGTTTCCTCCTCGCCTGTGCTTCCGTCCCGACTGCGCAGCAGTTAGTTAGCAAGGTGACCCTGATCAGAGCTGATAGTGGAAAAGGCAAAGGCACGTACGGTATGTATTTGACACCGGAGTCTTCAAGGCTGGCGATAATTTCGTCCGGGAGCTACACAGGTAATTGACACACGTTAGCTTCCTCTTCCTTCCACGTCAAAGTCACAGGAAACAGGGACCGTCAAACTCACCGAGCCCGTCACCTTGACCGCATACGTTCCCGGCACGTACGCGTCCAGTCGCTGCCACCTGGCGACCCAGCTCGTGGTCGGATCACGTAGGGTGACGAGGCCCTCGAAGACCTGGGAGGTGCATTCTTGAATGGCGTCGTTGTTGCCGCGTAGGCCGAGCACGTTGTCGCAGTTAGGACATCCTTCACGCATGAATTTCTATAGAAAACGAGCCAAGGAATAGCTGGTTAGCGGTGATGCAGTGGAAAAAAGCTTTCGTCTTGTCTCCTTGATGTGTGGGGAGAGGGGAGAGAGAAAGAAAGGGAGGGGACATACGTTGTGAAGCTGAACGAGGGAACAAACCATGCAGGCGCGAAGAGTGCGCTGCTGGCTTGGGGCGACGTAATAGGACATGTACAGGTCTGTTTCTGGAGCTATCGGCAGCGAAGAGGGTGGAAGATCCGAATGAGAGACAAAAGGGGAGCAAGAGGGAGAGGCAGAGCTTCTGTATAGCCGGGGCAGAAGACGACGCTGAAAGAAAGACGCTTCTCGAACCCTTTGCGGCGACGCCAAGACCGGAGAAAAAGGGCGCTCGGGGAACAATCAATTCCTCGATCCAAAAACGCGATAAGCCTCGCCTTCGCCCGCTCTCGCCCTCACTTGGTCCTGCGCACATTTCCTGGCTCATTCTTGCGGTGCTCCTTGTGCCCTTGTGCTCCTGTATCCTTGTGCCCTCGTGCCGACTTTCCTTAAAATTCCGTCCCTCTCCCTCCCCCCTCTTTCCTTCTTCCCTTCTTCCCCTCATTGATCGTTCGCCTACTTTTCTCCGCCCATGGCTTCCTCCGATCTCGAAGCTGCCACCGCGCTGAAGGTGCAGGGAAACAAGGCCTTTGCCGAGCACGAATGGCCCACAGCAGTGGACTTCTACACTCAGGCGATCGAGAAATATGATCGCGAACCCTCGTTCTTCAGTAACCGGGCCCAGGTACGTCAGGATGTCTTGGTGATCCCCTCACCAAATACAAATCTGCTTGGGAAGAACTGTGTCGTGCTGACAGCTTGGTTTCTACAGTGTCATATCAAACTCGAGGCCTACGGCTTTGCGGTGGCGGATGCTACCAAGGCCTTGGAATTGGACCCCTCCTACACCAAGGTTAGTCGACTACCGTTCGTCTGGCTGGATTTCGGTCTACGCAATATGACAGGATGCCCCAAAAATCACGCAAAAACCACACAAAAATTTTAAAGAAAAAAAAATGAATCAATCAATCGATGGACTTTCCCGGCTAACGGTCATTAGGCCTACTGGCGACGAGCCCTTGCGAACACGGCCATCCTAAACTACCGCGATGCTCTAAAAGACTTCAAGGCCGTTGTGAAGAGGGAGCCGAACAACCGCGATGCGAAGATTAAGTTGACGGATTGCGAGAAGCTCGTGCGTCGGGTGCAGTTCGAGAAGGCCATTGAAGTCGGTGACCCGCCGTCGGCTTTTGAGAACCTGGATATCGATTCGATGGCGGTAGACGCCAGCTACGACGGTGTGCGATTGGAAAACAACGAGATGACGCAGGAGTTTATCGACGACATGATTGAACGGTTCAAGAACGGCAAGAAGATCCACCGCAAGTACGCTTTCCAGATCGTCAAGGCCGTCAAGGATCTCGTGTACGCCGAGCCCACGATGGTCGAGGTTGGCGTGGACCAAGGCAAGCGGTTGACGGTTTGCGGTGATACGCACGGTCAGTTCTTCGACTTGCTGGAGATCTTCCGATTGAACGGCTACCCGACCGACACGCATGCTTATCTCTTCAACGGTGATTTCGTGGATCGTGGGTCGTGGTCCACGGAGATTGCCTTGCTCCTGTACGCCTACAAGTGGCTGCGGCCCAATGGCATCTTCCTGAACCGCGGAAACCACGAAACGGACGACATGAACAAGGTCTACGGCTTCGAGGGCGAGTGCAAGGCCAAGTACAACGAGACGGTGTTCAAGGTGTTCTCCGAGTCATTCTCCGCCCTACCGCTGGCCACCTTGATCGGCAACAAATATCTGGTTTTACATGGCGGTCTCTTCTCCGACGACAAGATCACCCTGGACGACATCCGGAAGTTGAACCGCCACAATCAGCGACAGCCTGGTCAGCAGGGTCTCATGATGGAGATGCTGTGGACCGACCCGCAGACGGAGCCTGGTCGCGGACCCAGCAAGCGTGGTGTCGGTCTTCAGTTCGGACCCGACATCACGAAGCGATTTTGCGAAAACAACGGCCTGGAAGCGATTATCCGTTCCCACGAGGTTCGTATGGACGGTTACGAGGTCGAGCACGATGGCCGCTGCATCACCGTGTTCTCCGCTCCCAAGTACTGCGACACCACGGAGAACAAGGGTGCCTTCATCAAGATCGGACCGGAGCTCAAGCTGGAATATCAGGTGTTTGAGGCGGTGCCTCACCCGGATATCAAGCCGATGGTAAGATTTTCTCGCCCCTGGCCCTGTCATGTTAATCCCCTCAACACCAGCTAATTTACTTTTTTCTTTCTCAGGCGTACGTGCAAAACTCGATCATGTCCTCCATGATGTGAGATGAAAACCGGCTGGATTGTAAGGCGTTTTACGGGAAGATTATATACCTCGATCGGTCATAGAGGTTGAAACGAATCACGGAGACCTGGGTGCCAGTCCCCCCGGCAGAATTTCTGATATTAAAGGGACATGCCTGAAATGATTTGGATATCGACGAAGCTGTACCTTACGGAATGATGATTTGACTCTTGCATAGCGGAGACAATGGATTATTTGTTGGACGAATTTGGCTGCTTCTTTTTATTTCTCCTTTGGCCATCTGACTTTTGGATCGTCTTCTTTTTTATTCTAAATTTGCGCATTGATCTCTTGGCTTAACCAGCAAAATAGACGAATAGAGAATGAAAGGAACCTGCTGAGTTTGTTGTCACTTCCGACCGCTTCAACCCCGCGATCTTCCCGACGGACGTCATTCCTCTCTACCGATCTTCTTTCCTTCTCCCCTCTTCAACCCCTTTCGTCTCTCGATCCATTGGCAGCGGAATAGTAAGGGAAGACATTCCACCTTCTCGATCTAATCACAAAAATGGAGTTCGATCCCAAGACCCGTGAGTTGTCGCCATTCATCCAGTGTTGAAACCCCCACCAACTCAGCTCAAACTCACCCCGCCTTTTTTTTTCCCTCTCCGTCAGCGCAATACCTCACCTCCGACAAGTCGAGTTTCGCCTCGGTCTCGGCCCACGAGCGGTGGCCTGTCATTGTGGTAAGTGACATTCTTCAGAGGCTTCTGGGCCTGAGCTGACCGAGGGGTCATTGGTGAATAATAGACTGGTGCCATTGATGATCTTCATCGCACCGTTGGTGATGTCACCGACGATGAGAAGCGCAAGGAGGGAAAGGCGATCATCGAGAAGTTGGCCGCCTTGAAATATGAGATTCAGCATAACAGACAGTTGACGTGCGTCCCCCCATCCTATACTTGGTATACTTGAGAGAAGATGATCTTGACTTATGGTGTGTCCTTATAGCCCTCTGGTCGACGACGGCGAATCCGACATTGCCGACTACAACAAGGAGTTGGAACAGCGAGGGAACCCGTCATGGCTTCATGTTCCGTGGCTGTACTCCGAATGCTACCTCTGTGCGTTTTCTCAACCCTCTGCCGACAAATGTGAATACACCGGGATAGGACAGTGTACTGATGGGAACGAACAGACCGACGGATCAGCACCTTTTTCGCATTGTCCAAGCACTGGAAGGGCTACGATGTCTTTTCTCGCCAGAAGATGTCGACCTTCAAGTCTTCGCGACCGGCCGTTCTAGAACTCGCTGCCCGGTACAAGGAGCTGGCTTTGGAGGCGGAGAAGGGCGAGGGCGTGGATGGCAAGACGCCCGAGCAGATCGAGCAAGCGGACCGAGTGCTTTTCTCTGAGATGTGCGAGATTTGTTTGTGGGGAAACGCTACGGACCTGTCGCTGTTGACCTCGCTCACCTACGAGGACATTCAAAAGCTGCAGGGTTCCCAGGCCCGAAAAGCTGCCGAGAAGAATATCATTGTCAACGACCTCAGCAAGGCCTTTGACGTGTTGCAGAAGGCTCGCAAGGAACGCAAATCAGAGGAGCGTCGCGTCGACATCGTCCTGGACAACTCTGGATTTGAGCTCTTCGTCGACCTCATCCTGGCCGGATACCTTCTCTCCGCTGGTTTGGCAACGACCGTGGTGCTGCACCCCAAGCTGATCCCCTGGTTCGTGTCGGACGTGACGCCGCCCGACTTCAAGGATCTTATTGACGCCCTCTCCGACGCGCAAGGGTTTTACACGGCGGCCGACGACTCCGGTAAAACGTACGATCCCTTGTCCGAGAAGGAACTGTCCGAGGTGAACTTCCTCTTCGAACAATGGAGCCAGCTTCACCAGGACGGCAAGCTGATTATCCGCCCGCACATCTTCTGGACGACGCCAGGTGGCTACTGGCGTCTGCCTCATGTGGCCTCCGACTTGCATGAGGATCTCAAGGAGAGCGAGCTTGTCCTGTTCAAGGGTGACCTCAACTACCGCAAGCTGACCAACGATGTACGTTTTCCACCCTTTCTCACTTCCGCCTACTCTGCCTACTCTAGCCCGCTACTCTTTCTCTCTCCGACCCAACACTCCACCGGATTATCTAGACAAAGCTAACATCGAGATAAAACAAAAAGGCCGCATGGAACCCCACCACCCCCTTCACGACGGCCATCGGCCCTCTAGGCCCGAAGTCCGGCGTCCGCGTCCTCGCCTTCCGTACCTGCAAAGCCGACACTGTCGTCGGTCTGCCCGAAGGTGAAGACGAGCGTCTCCGTCAACTCCCCGGCGGTGGCGGCTCCGAGGCTCGGAAGTGGGCTTGGAGTGGCAAGTGGGCCGTGGTTTCGTTCAGCGATGGCAAGGCATAAAGCATGAGCTGGGATAGAATCTAGATTTTTTTCAGACGTGATGTTGGTTGATTGGGTTTCGGGGTAGAGCAGACAGAGACTTAAATAGGGAGATAAAGATACATATGGATCAGAAGTTGAGCGAGGATTTATTGAATATACAGATGTCCAGGTAGGTAAACTATGTATGACATGAAGGCACCCAATACATAATCCAGGAACACAAATTCAAATTCAGATTCAAGTCATCCAAAAGATATAAAGAAATGGAAGGAAAAGCAAACAGACAAACAAAAGAGAATGTTTGATTGATTCAGGGTATATGATATCCAGACATTAAGACTATGTTTATTGGCAGTAGTCGACAAAAGAAACGTCAAAGCAAAAAGAAGAGGAAAACAAAGTAAAAAAAAGGTAAGTAAAGGATGTCCGCAAAATGAACCACCTCGGTAGAGAGAAGAAACAAGAAGTGCTGTATCAGTCAAAGAGAATGAGCGCCTTTTCGCAGTTCCGGTTCCTACGCCATGCCAAACACAAATACTAAAGAGAGAAAAAGAGAACAGGGCCAAAGACAGAAAGCAATGCAAATGAAGATGTACATCATCTCAATAACCCAGCGAATGAATGTGTAGAAAAGAGTTATCAGCGACGGGAACGGAGCAAAACAAGGAATAGTTCTGAGTTCAAGGATTGGTGCTGTAGGCCTGAATGTTCTCTTTGCCGTCATCTTTGATCTTTCGGTGTTCGTCTCGGCGTTTAAGTCGTGCCTGAGCGGCAATCAGGCGGTCCACAGGTAGCGAGCCCCGTTGAAGAGCGCTAAGACTCTGTCGTTTGCGTGTTCGATCGGTAAGGTGATGGGTTTCCGGGAGGCCGGAGAGGGCATCGAGGCTATATTTCGTAGGGGAGCGACGGTTGCGTAGGCGCTCTGTGCGGACTTGTTGGCTTTCATCCATCCCGGCGAGGTGGTGGGCGAGAGAAGTCATGGTTGTATGGGAAGGCAGGTACGAACGGTAACTGTCCGGGTTATACTTCTGTTTTGTTGTACGCGGTCGGGTGGTGGGTTCAAGAGGTTGGACATCGGGTGGTGAGGATGGTGGAACAGGGTCCTCGCCGTCCTGAAGGTGGATTATGCCCGTCTTGTGAGGCGAGTGTCCAATGTTTCTTGACTCGTCGTGGTGAGTATCGTCGTCTTCGTGAAGACCCAAAGCTTTGCTGGCCATTTTCACATCCAATTCGCCCAGTGCCGTTCGGGTACCAAGGGAGTGTCGATCCTTGGCTCGAGGGCTGGGACTTGGTGGTTCGTCAACGTCGGTGGTCTCGTCATTTTGGTGGTGGTACTTCTGAGGGCTGGTATGCGCGAAATCGTACACCTGGACCCCGGGGTAGCTTTTACGAGGGCTATCTGAAGGTCGAGTCCGGGCCCGGAGCTCTGGAAGCCGTTCAAGAGTGGTGACTTTTAAATTAAGCAGGTCGATTTGCTCCTGCATTTGACGGCGCTCCTCGTTGAAAGAAGCCTTGAGATCGTCTTCCAGCTCGCGGTGCTGTTGAGAAGCAGTCCGGAAGCGCTCCCGATACTCTTGGATCCTTGTCTCCAGTTTAGACTCTCTTTGCTTGAGTTTGGCTTCCTTCTCCTTGCGTCGGCCCTCGTATTTGACCATTTCTTGCTTCACGCGCGCCAGGGTTTGTTTAAGTAAAACATTTTCCTTTTCAAGCTCCGACGCCTTCTGTTCGGAGCTCTGCGCAAGATCCTTCAAATTCGTGAATTCAAATTGTTGCTTCTTCATCTCGTCGATTCGCTCATTGGCCTGTCCCAGTTCCTGCTGGGTTTTGCGAAGCTCTTGCGATGATTTGTCCGCCGGTGCATCACTGACGTCGGGCGACCCTGGGATATCATCGCCAACCACACCGTGTCGTTCGAGGAGTTTGCGCAATAAACCGACGCGATGTTTGTATTGTAGCGCCAAGGCCGTCTGCTTGGTGAGCTCCTGCACCAATTTTTCTTTGTCGGCATTGGACTTTTCGGTCACCATGGTAGAAGCCAGCTGGGTTACGTGACGTTCCATATCCGCAACCTTGACCTCCTCCTCTTTCAGTTTTTCGGCTAGCCGCACAGCCTCCTCATCCTTCTTTCTGGCGTACGATTTAGCCGCAGAGCGATACTGGATCAACTTCCGGATTTCGCGGGTTGTTTTTGTCCGGTAGCTATCGAATTCAGCCTTCCAATATTTGCCAGACTGAGAGCGAGGTTCGTTCAGGTTGACCGTGTCTTCGCTGCCATCTTCTTCGGATGATGGCACAGCTTTCGATTCCGCAGATGGAAGATCAACCTTTTGCGAGGAATCCATCTCTGAGCCAGCAGGGGACTTTTCGCGGGAGTCCATCAAGGCCTGCGTGAGTTTACTCCGCGGTTTAGATTTATCCGACGAGCCTGACCATTGACTACTGATGTTGCCGGACGAAATAGTCGGGGTTCTGGAAGATCTGGTGGGAGGCTCGTCTCGCTTCCGTTCGTTATCGACAACACTCTCACCGAACGAGACAGTTTTTCGCCGGTTTGACGCCGTGCCGGGGGTGACAAGGATACTCTTCGTAGGGGAAGCCATGGCGTTCACAGCCGTATCGACATCCATCATCGTAGACTTGGAAGCATCTCTTGCGCTTCCGGTCGCAAGGGGCTTTCGCAAATCGGCGGCACCGAGACGGGGATTGACCGATAGATTCTTCGGATTCTGTTCCCGCCGGACGTTTTCTTCGTCCTCAGCCCCCGGGGTGCCAAAGAGGGCGCTCTTGAAGGCGCGAATAGCAAAGACGGGCGCAGGAGTCTCCGGTGGCTCCAATACCTTTGAGCCGTCTGTGGAAAACAAACACGGAAAAAACAAGTACAAGTCAGCGCGCGACGGGCGAAACCGCGTTGTCTAGGGAGCATCGCACGGCCATTATTGGGCCAGTGAGGGGAGGGAGGGGCGCGGTCAAGACATACCTGCGAACTGCTCGTTCTGCCCCTTGATCCACTCCAGCATCGCGTCTGCAGAATAGGGTGATTCAGATTATCAAACTCGACACAAGATGCATTTCACGGGGCGACCCCATTGGCGAGTGAAAGAGGGAAAGAGGCGAGAGAGATGGGGGGGAGGGGGCCAAGGACTGGGAGGAGGATTGACGTGGAACGCTATGCTTTGTTTACGCTTTCTCCAGCGCCGGCGCTAAAGGCCGAGGCGGTCAAGGCGATGGAGCACGTGACTTGGGCAGCTACCTTCTTTTTTCTTTCCAGCAGCCGCGCTAATTCCTCACTAAATCATCCGGGCCCCACTCTACCGAGTACGGAGTACAGCCCCTGGCCACCGATCTCCGAAATTCCTGAGTTTTTAACATATTGAAAATCTGTTATTTATACAGTAAGAAACATATCAACATCATAAAAATCATGATCGACTCTAAGTGTTCAGTAATTTGGATATGGGCTTGTGGCTTGCTCTTGGCAATTCGGGAATTTCGGAGATCGGTGGCCAGGGGCTGTATGTGTGTGAAACTGTGAAGCTACACGGAGTAGGGAATTGGTATTCATTGCTCAACTATGACCAACTAGTAGTTAATAAAGCCATGTAGGTATTCTTAGAGGTCTATATTCACCTTCAGGTTTTCTGTGAATGCTAGTAGTGATTGTGTTTACCTTTCTGATATGAAATGTCTTCAAACACCCAGTGTCATACAGACATCTTGCTTAACGCTCCTATCTCATAATTTCAGACTCGAATCATTTAAATCACAAAAGAACACCATCTGGAATCGCCAAATACCCCGAAAAGCTGATCAAGAAGCCCTTGCCGAATCTTCTGGTTGGTCCCGGCCATATCATATCAACAACCCATCACAAGTACAGTACTTTCTGGGCCCTTTGGAGAAATGGACTACATTTGGGGCAGAAGTTAGGGCATGTGGCGATACTACCCGCTGGGGGGATCATGTCCTGTCGTTCAGGCACAATTGCCAGACCTGGTGTTCAGGGTCGATTTGTGGCCAACGTGGGCCAGCCACTCTCCGTCGTTTGCAAAACGGCAGGAATCGACCTGGTATTTGGGAATTACAAGACCACTGCCCGCAAAGGGGCCGGACAGCGTGTGTCTAACAAGCAACGGGGAGGCAAAAGTTGTGGGGAAGCTTAAAACACCATGGATCGACGCCCATGATCTGAAGGGGCGTACCGATGCACAGAAGGGCTGCGGAAATCGGTTTGTGCTGTCTCTAGTATTGAGTTGTGAGAGATGGTCGGACTAATATAAGCTATTAGCCCAGATCGCCGACTATATGAAGCGAGCGATACTTAAGTTTGGTTATCTTTCGAATTATAGCCAGACGATCTTTCTCAAGCAGGAGTTGAAGAATGATGGATTGGCGCTAGAATGTTTTTGGTTTTTGATGAACCAGGCGAATGCGGCCCACGTGGCAAACAACCCATTGCCAGACTGTAACCAGAGGGGGTTGTTTTCTATCCAAAAGTGATAACATATTCTGTTGAAGGACGCTTCGGGCGTTCAATGGGCTAGTACGCCTCACTATGTAATTTGCCCTCGACATATAAGTAGTACTGACTAGAATATGCAGCCCACCCTTTCAGTCAATCCGGATTAATAATATTTTCCTTTATTCTTCTATTTTATTATCATAGACTCCACCTGCACAGGGCTAGTGCCAAGTGCCAAGTGCACCCCCCACCGCCTTTCGCTCGGGTTTCTCATCTCCAGACATTTTAGTTAACTAGTTTAACTCTCCCTTCCTTGAATGCCCTCTCCCAATCTCGCCCCTCCCCATTGCTACCCGATTGCCTTTTACGACATGTCCCCTTCGGAGATTTAGAGGGCTGCAGCTTCGGCTGTATCTTTGTCACTGCTTTCTCGTGGCAAAGGATTCGTCTCGTTCTTGGGTAAACTAACTTTCCACACCGCCCAACGAACGCCCCGCGATGCCTCACAAGCAGAAGAAGAATTCCAATCATGTCCCCCCAAACGCTTCTCCCCGAGCGGAAAAGAAGCAGTTTAATCCCGAATCGCCCATAGCCCCTCCTACGAACTACCATGAAATCCACGAGAACGAGGTCGAGGCCCTTCGCTCAATCTACGGCGATGACTTCGAAGATGTGCAGCATCGGCGATCCGCGTGGGGACAAGTAGGTGCCAAAAACTGAACCCGCCCGCGGACGTCATGTCAGACGGGTGAACACTAACGAGTTGAACTTCTAGCAATCCTCCGAAGTTACATTCAAACTCCATTTGCGGGCTTCCTCCAATCCTGATGTCCACCTCGAATTGCTCGTCGAGCTCCCCGCGACCTACCCCAAAACCTACCCGAACCTCTCCTTGGAAAACATAGACGACCTACGACAGGGAGCTCGATCACGAATCGAAGATATTATACGCCACAAGCCGAGGACACTCATGGGCTCGGAGATGATCTATGAGTTAGCCGTGTCGATCCAAGATGTCCTCGAGGACGTGGCGGAAGCTCGAGCTCAAGATAAGGATCTTCCTAGCCTAGAAGAGGAGCGTATGGAGCAAGAAGCCGCGGCCAACCAACGAGCGGAGCTAGAACGACAAGAAGAACTGCGGAAACAGGAGGCCGCCTCGGCAGAGGAGGAACGAGCTTTACAACAGCTCCTAGATGATAAGGTCCGAGAACGGACCAAGGCACGAGACTCGAAACGGAAGAGCCGAACGCCAGGAATGGACCCGGGAAGTGGTCTAGATGCTGCGGAGAATATTCCGGGTGCGATCTGCTTCGATCCCCCTCTGGTCATGACGGATACGGATGAAGGGCCTCTTGCTTTTCGCGCTGTATATGGGAAGACTATGCTACAATCCTCTCCGGGAAAAGAGACGTTCACCGTCAGGCCGGTCACTTGCGAGACCCGTCCCTGTGCTCCTCTCTTAGTCTTAAAAGAGGTGTCCCTGGATGAGAAAGGGCTGGACCCGTTGGCGTTCCGAGAGAAGATGCGTACTAGTGAGGATAAGCTGGAAAGCTTGAAAAGGCTACGGCACTCCAATCTAGTTGAGTTTGTCGGGTTTAAAATATATAGACCTTTGAATCCCCTCGATTCCCATGATCACTTCTGGAAGGTGTATCTCCTCGTCGAGCACGCAAACAAGGGCTCGCTCTCTGAATTTCTGGATATCGTCGGAACGGTTCCCGTGGAAATGCTTCGTAGCTGGACTATTCAACTTCTTGAAGCCCTGGAGTTCTACCACCGCAGCGGATTTGTCCACGGAGATATTCACTGTGGGTGTATCATGCTGTTTAGGAACCCCACCGGGGGCACGATCGTGAAGCTACAGGCGGCCATCGAGGAAACTCTGCCGGATTCTGCAGAAAGCACGCGGTCACTGACAACCTCCAAATCACCATTTTGGCTTCCCCCGGAATTGACGCCCGATGATGCCCCACCCACCACTAAAACAGATGTTTGGGACTTGGGTATAGTCTTTCTGCAGATGGGCTTCGGACTGGATGTGTTGCAGCGCTATACATCGGCCAATGCGATGATGGCTACTCTCGGCCTCACCGCTCCCCTGCAGGATTTATTGCATGAATTCTTCCGACCTGATCCAAAGAAGCGGCCAACCGCTTTTCAGCTTCAGCCATCGGAGTTTTTCCGCCTCGACACTCCCTTGGTTGCTCGTTCAAGCGCCTCAAACTCGATTTCCTTGCCGAGGCGGCCCCGCCTAGACTCTTTGAATGGCCTACCTGTGTTCTCGCGATATAATCAAGACTTCGATGAGGCAGGCCGCTTGGGCAAAGGGGGATTTGGGCAGGTAGTAAAGGCGAGAAACAAGCTTGATGGTCGCTTCTATGCCGTTAAGAAGATTTCTCAAAGGTCTGCCGCCGCGTTGAAGGATACGCTGTCGGAAATCATGTTGCTGTCCCGACTTAATCACCCGTATGTGGTGCGCTACTACACGGCGTGGCTCGAAGAGGATCATGGTCATATCGACGAAGACGCTGTATCATCTTCAGACGGAGACTTTTCTGGCCGGGACTCCAATGCGTATGAGTATAGCACGGGTGGGCTTGATTTCATCAGCTCTAGTGGCTATCCGAAGATCGAATTTGGAGGCGACAGCGATGAAGAACGAGATGGCACCACGCCATCTCAAAACTTTAAGCGCTCAACACCGGAGACTTATTGTTCGGAAAGTGGCACTGGGGCAGAGCTCAGTCGTGTGATGTCCGGCTCGCAAGGTAGACCAGTCTTGTCTACCCTCTACATACAGATGGAATATTGCGAGAAACACGTACGTCCCCTGTTTGGAATCTCACATATGCTCGAACTGACGAATATTATAGACACTCCGCGATCTGATTAGAAATGGTTTGTACGACGACGTGGACAGATCATGGCGGCTGTTCCGACAGATTCTCGATGGGTTGAGCCACATCCACGGTCATGGCATCATACATCGTGACCTGAAGCCCGATAACATCTTCATCGATGTCGCAAATAACCCGCGTATCGGAGACTTTGGGCTAGCCACGAGTGGGCAATTCACGACAGCCGTGCGGTCTTCGACTACCGCAGACTTCGAAGGAAACTTCACTCGAAGTCTTGGTACCACATACTACGTTGCGCCGGAGATGAAATCTGGCTTTACGGGAAATTATAATGAGAAAGTGGATGTAAGTTAAGCTTTTTTTTTTTTTTTTTTTTTTTTTTTTTTTTTTTTAAAAAAAAGGAAAACAAAAAAAGCAACGGCGGACAAATTTAATTTTAATATTTTGGTTTAATATTTTTAGAAATGTTCCACCCACTGCCGACGGGTATGGTGCGAGACCAAACAC